TCTATCTTACAGTAGCCCTGCAGGGAGGTCCGCCCCAAGTTTTGGGGTACAGCAGACTCTGGTATCAGGCCAAGCAGAAAGCCTGGATCCAAACGGGCTAACTATGAAGAGGGTCCTGACTCCAAGCTAGGATATTGGGCACCTTTCTCTCCTAGTCAGGCTTCATGATAGCTCAGTTGGTAAAGAATCCACCTGCAATGCAGGACACCCCGGTTCAATTCCTGGGTCGGGAAGATCTGCTGGAGAAGGGATAGGCTACCCACTCCAGTATTCTTGGGCTTCTCTTGTGGCTCAGCTGGTGAAGAATCCACCTGCAATGTGGTAGACCTGGGTTTGAACCCTTGGTTGGGAAGATCCCCTGGAGAAGGGAAAGTCTACCCACTTCAGTATTCTGACCTGGAGAGTTCCATGGACTGTATAGTCTGTGGGATCACAAAGAGTTGGACACGACTAAGCGACTTTCACTTCACTTCTCTTCTGCTGCTGCTGCTGCTAAGTCACTTCAGTCGTGTCTGACTCTGTGTGACCCCATAGATGGCAGCCCACCAGGTTCCCCTCATCTCTGGGATTCTCCAGGCAAGAATACTGGAGTGGGTTGCCATTTCCTTCCCCAATGCATGAAAGTGAAAAGTGAAAGTGAAGTTGCTCATTCGTGTCTGACTCTTAGCAACCCCATGGACCGCAGCCTATCAGGCTCCTCCGTCCATGGGATTTTCCAGGCAAGAGTACTGGAGTGGGGTGCCATTGCCTTCTCCATCACTTCTCTCCTAGTCAACCACAAACCCTCAACTCTCATGTGTTCACAATCTACTAGTTCACAAGCTAGTAGGTCTTCCCCTCCAACTCCATTCCAGTCTAACACATCTGGCTCCAGCGGAACTTAAGGGTCAGTGTTCTTCTCACAGCACAGAACCACCTAGACCTTTAAAAGGGTCACGTGACCTAAAACCCTTTCATCTCCTTTGTGCAGTCACTGTCATGTGACAAACAGACCCCCTGATTCCGAGAGAAGGGCAGAGATTGGAGTTCCCTCCCTGAAGAACCTACCATAGAACTAATTTCGCCAACATGTTAACAAATAAACAACTAATCCTAAATCTTGCACTAAGATTTCTCGGGAAGTCACCTAGAATAAAAAGGTTCTACAATCAGTATATTGAAATCTTGTTTTTTATCGGTCTCTGATAACAAAATTGCTGTATCTTAACCTAACTTTCTTCTTAGCAAGGCCTTTATGAATTTTTCTCCTTCATGAGGTGTAAAGAGAAAATGACTAGGACTCAGTAGTTCCCAGCCGTCTTTAAGTTACATGAAGGCAATTTCATGGATTACTCACAGACAAAAACAACACAATAAAAGAAAAAGAAATAAACCCACAATCTCATTTGGCCACCTAATGCAGAATTCTAGAGCTGCATAATAAGATCTATACAATATTCTTCCCCTGTTGAACGATACTCCCACCAAATGGAAATTCACTCTCCAATCTTCCTAGGGGCCCTTGGGCAACACCCATGTCTTCTCTCCTGATGCTTCCAGGTGTCTGTGACCGAGGCTTCCCAGGCCTGGAGACTCCATCTGATGGATGTTCAGAAGAGAGTGTTGTTACCAGGAGACCACTGAGCCAGGGCCTCTGTTCACAAACTAGGGACCTCTCTTTCTTGTTGTTTAGTCGTTCAGTCATGTCCAACTCTTTTGCAACCCCGTGGACTATAACCTTCCAGGCTCCTCTGTTCATGAGATTTCCCAGGCAAGAATACTGGAGTGAGTTGCCATGCCCTTCTCCAGGGGATCTTCTCAACCCAGCGATCAAACTCGCGTCTCCTGCATCTCCTGTATTGCAGGCAGATTCTTTACCACTGAGCCACCAGGGAAGCCCTAGGGACCCCACTAGGGCTCTCTCAAATTCTTGTGAGGGTGCACCATGCAGCCTTCCTAGGAGAGGCTCTTAAAGCACCAAATGTGGAGAGAAGGTCTCAGTTGGTAAGACACACTTCACTGCTACTGATGTTGCTGATACCAACAGCAGTTTTCACTTTAATTCCTCCCGTGTGAACATGCAGGATCAAATAAATAAACCATTCCTTTAACTGAAGACAAAATAGTGTAACAGCAAAGTGCCAGGGCTCTGCAGTCAGTCCCAGCCTTGCCACCTCAGGGCTGTGACACTGGACAATGAATCTGCCTGTGATGCAGAAGACCTGGGTTCGATCCCTGGGTTGGGAAGATGCCCTGGCGAAGGAAACAGCAACCCATTCCAGTACCCTAGCCTGGGAAATCCCGAGGAGCCTGGCAGGTTACAGTCCCTGGGGTCGCAGAGTCAGACCCGACCGAGCGACTCACAGACAGACAGAATCCCTGTGTGCCTCCAATTTCTCCTCTACAATATGAGGATGATAAGAGTACCTACCTTACAGTCCTCACTTGTTTAGTCCTGACAACCATGGAGTTGTTGTCAGGATTAAACAAGTGAGAACCTGCCGTGCTGGGCACAGAACATTCACTCGGTAAACATCACTATCACCATTACTCTTGGGAGGACATTATTATAAAAACAATGGTGATGTAAATGAGGGTTAGATTTGGAGACAAAGGAATGGTCTGAAAGATTCAGGACAAAGGCATTTTGGAGGAAAGGGGTAAGCGGGTGAAATCTTTCTTATCCAGAAAAGCCTTGTAAGAGTCCAGCTCACAAGGGAATTGTGAACTCAGCCGGGGCCCACTCGGATGTGCCGGACTGCAGCCCACCCCCACCCCTCATCTAAGCTGGCTGCTTCCAAAATGGCTCCTCCACGGGTCAGGCAAGGAGGGAGGAAGACTGTGTGTAAGACGAGTGTGTTTTTTCCGTCTGTGCTTGACACTCCATCCCACACAGAAGGAGAACCCGTGACAGGCTGTTTTGCTCTTTAAAACACTTTGGCAAGCTGAATTCCCTTGCTCTTCCAGGAAACTGTAAACAAAATCAATTCACTGAGTGGACACTCTTTTTTGCTTCTATTTTACTTCTCCAATGGCTAGTGCTTCTTAAAAGGGGAGAGGGGCTTCTCCATTGTCTTAAATATACATATGTCAGACCCCTCAAAATATGTTTAAGTAACATTAGGTGAAAGAATCTTAGGAAAGCTGATAAAGCAGGCATGAAAGCTTAGATGTGTTCCCTGTAGCAACCTTTTGATGACAGGCATGTCATGGACCTGAACTCATTGATCCAAATTATTTAAAAGTCATTGTGAGACAAAGGAAGGATGGAGGGAGAAGAGGATGCAAGGGGGAAGGTGAGACGGATGGAAGGCTAAAGGTAGCAGGCAGGGGCTACTTCATGGATGTGTCCTCAGTCCCTTGGCAGGGCTCTGGGGATGATAGACTCAGGAAGGATCTGGTGACAAACCAGAGCCCTAGGCGCCTGGGAGGGCTTGCACTCACAGGGAGAATGCCCAGCCCAAGGGAGTGTGACGTGCGAGCCTGCTCAGTCACTTCAATGATGTTCCACTCTGCAACCCTAAGGACTGTAGCCCACCAGGCTCTTCTGCCCATGGGATTCTCCAGGCAACCCAGGAGTGAGCTGCCATGCCCTCCTCCAAGGACCGAGTGTGACACTAAATAGCAAATAAAACTCGCCATGACAGGTCAAAAGAGATACCACGGAAGAAAGGAACACATTATTCCTCTGGCATGTGAGCAGGGGGCTCCACGTTTTTCCTGGGCCCCACAGATTATGTAGCTGGCCATGGTTATAGCATTTAAAACACACTCAGCACTCTTCCTGGGGCTCAAAGTTGAGAGCTTTGCTGCCCTCAGCCTTTGGGCCTGTGAGAGCTTTCAGAACTGGTGTCAGCCGCTGTCCCCAATACAGGGGGTGCACACTGCAGGGTTCACTGTGTAGTGGTTCTCTGAGAAGCCATGCTGAGTCACAGGATATCCGGAGAGTTCTTGGAGAAAACAGGGACAGGGGAGGGAAAGGAAGAGGAAAAGCCAAAATGAATGGGTTCTGTTCCACGGAATTGTGCAAACTGACTCAGAGGTTCTAAAACACAACCCTGGGGTCAAATAATCAAGTGGGAAGAATGCCAAAAGAAATGTTACATACTTGGGAAATTTATTATGAGATGGCTGTTGAACAGCATTTGGAGTGTATTAGAATTGCAGTTTTTAAAAAGTTCAGTACTCCCTTTCAGCCCAGGGACCCTGAGTCTGGCATGTGACCTGGCTCCTGGCCCCCAGAACTACAGCCTATCTCTCCCATTTCTTTAACCTGCTCCTCATGCCTCCAAGGGACCTCCATTCTACCCATAGGTCCTGCTGCCTAGAGATACAGGGTCTCTGTAGATTCAATGAGAAAAAGGAGGTGAATTATTCGGACTGTTTTATAATCTTTACCCAGGTATCAGTAGAAAACTGGAAGATAAGACTTTCCACAGGGTGAGATAGAATGAATTTATTTTATTGGCATTTGAGGATTTATTGTTATCTTAAATTGCAAATGCTTATGTAGTGCAGGCATGCTAAGCTGCTTCAGTCATGTCCAGCTCTTTGCAATCCCATGGACTCTGTGGCCTGCTAGGCTCCTTTGTCCGTAGGATTCTCCGGGCAAGAATACTAGAGTGGGTTGCCATGCCCAGGATCTTCCTGACACAGGGATTGAATCTCAAGGAAAAGCTGGTGACTTTTAAGGCTGGGTCAGGTTGCTAAAAAGACTGTAGAGAAATCTCATTCCAAAGATAAGATAAAAACTTATAGATCTACACAGAGAGAGGGATCCAATTTAAATGGTTTCCTGAAGCTCTTTTATGGAAGACAATTTAGCTCTTACAGGAGACAAAAATCCCTACTGGGACTTGAGACAAGTGGAAATCTGTTGGTGGGTTTGATAAAATGCATTTTATTTTCGTGTGTGTTTGTTTTGAATTTTTTTTTTTTTGTTTTGAATTTTTATCTTAATTTGCACGGACAGGGAAGAGCACTGGATTATACATAATGAGCTTTCTTTGACTGTTTTCCAGAGTGGAAATAGAATTCTGTGTTCCATCATTCTGAGCCATCACCAGGGTCCGTCCATAATCAACTATGATGATGAGAGTGGCAAGACATGCGTGCACATCGCCGCAGCAGCAGGTTTCTGCGACATCATCAACGAGCTGGCAAGGGTCCCTGAGTGCAACCTGCAGGCTCTGGATGTGGATGACAGGTATACGTGGCCACTCTGTCACCTTTTCCAAATTTTAATCTCAAAACAAAGAAGATGTTTAAGGAGTTATCTTATATGACTATATCCTAACTGCCAGTAATGTTAATATTTATACCTGGGCTTGTGACAATAAAAACTGCCCTATATTAGTCAGGACAGGAAAAACCATTGTTATGAAGAGAAACTCTGTGACTGTATTGTCAGACTTTCCACTTTTTGCTAACTGTTCTCAGAAGGCTTTCTGTATATCAGCTTCCTGCTATATACACTTTTTGTTCTTAACAGTAAGTCTTATTTTTTTCCTTCATTCCTGGATTATGTCATAAAATCAACAAGCTCTTGTTATCCAGAGAAGAGCACAATAGAGGCTTTGTGTTCAGAACTAGATGTGACCTTATCAGGGTTCTGTTTTGGTTTTCTTCAGTCATTAAAGATGTATTTACATAGAAAAGGAAGCTGAGTCCAGAAAGGTGAAGAGACTTGCCTAAGAGGTAATTAGCAACTAAGTGAAAACTTGTTGTTCAATCTGAGTCCCACTGTTTGCAACCCCATGGACTTCAGCATGCCAGGCTTCTCTGTCCTTCACTATCTCCCAGAGTTTTCTCAAATTCATTTCCATTGCATTGGTGATGCCATTCAACCATCTCATCATCTGTTGTCCTCTTCTCCTCCTGCTCTCAATTTTCCCCAGCATCACGGTCTTTTCCATTGAGTTGGCTCTTCGCATCTGGTGGCCAAAGTGTTGGAGCTTCAGCCTCAGCATCAGTCCTTCCAATGAGTATTCAGGGTTAATTTCCTTTAGGATTTTCTGGTTTGATCTTTCTGTCCAAGGGACTCTCAAGAGTCTTCTCCAGCACCACAGTTGGAAAGCATCGATTCTTTGGTGCTCAGACTTCTTGATGGTCCAACTCTCACATCCATACACGACTATGGGAAAAACCATAGCTTTGACTAAACAGACCTTTGTCGGCAAAGTGATGTCTTTGCTTTTTAATATGCTGACAGAAGAAATAAGAACTAAATCCATGGCCTCCAAAATGAAAACCCAATCACAGAAAACTAACCAAAATGGTCACATGGATCACAACCTTGTGTAACTCGAAGAAAACTTGTACCCTTGTCTTTTAAATGTAGAGCTTTTCACCTACTGGCCCTTCATCCATAATCAACTAATAGAATTTTTCAGTTACAATGCTTATCTAACCTTTGCTTCAGTTAGGCATTTTAGACTCAATGAAAATATAAGAATAATATAAGAACAAATAAGACTGTTGAAAATAAGTATAAGGCTTGTACATTATGCATAGTTTTTTTAAGCTTTTTCTATTGAAGTGCAAATTTAGCCACCTACTTCCATGATTTTCGATTCCCCAAGAAGCACTTCCTACTACTTCCTGATACCTGAAACCCTTATAACACAGAAGAAAGAAATTTTGGGTTCCATGTAAGTCTCAGAAGCTGGAGACCGTTAACAGGATGACTTTAATTAAAAGTAATATATAAATAATTGAAAGTAGACCTTTTCTGAAGAGTAGATATTGAACTTGAGCAGGTAAAAAAGTGGAAGGATTTTGTTACATGGAGAGAAAAGCTGAATGATCCAAAAAGCGAAGAAAAGAACACATGTAGGGGGACTTCCCTGGTGGTCCAGTGGTTAGGATGCCTTGCTTCCAATGCAGGGGGTGGGGGTTTGAACTTTGGTCAAGGAATACATGCCATGTGGCCAAATAAATAAAAATAGGGGAAAAAAAATATTTTTAAGGAACACATTTAGGAAAATAGGGCTAGAAAAAAGTTTGCTTACTTCAAAATACTTCTAGAAGCAGCTCTAATACAGTATTTCCCACTTGAATTATCACATGCTTCAGTTCAGTTCAGTCACTCAGTCGTGTCTGACTCTTTGTGACCNAACTTTTTCACTCTCCTCTTTCACTTTCATCAAGAGGCTCTTTAGTTCTTCTTCACTTTCTGCCATAAGGGTGGTGTCATCTGCTTATCTGAGGTTATTGATATTTCTCCCATGCTTAGGAGAGAAAACTTAGTTCCTGCAGTCTCAGGGAAGAAAGTATATCCAAAGGGAGTAAGAAAGTGTGAAAGATTGGGCCCTACGATGGTTCAAAGTGAAGTAAAATCCCAAGTAGGGTCTAGTTTCTGCTCCAGAGCTCAGCTCATCCTGCTCTTCATTTTGTTTCAGTTTTTGCATCCTACATTGTATAGCTCTACCTTCACATTGACACTGTAAGCTTGTGTTAGTAGAGAATTTTTCAAAATTTTCATAGGTTTAAGTATTGAAGCATTGGCAACAATTGTGGCTTCGCTTCCCTTCTTTTTTTATTCCAGATAGAAAGTTTTTGAGAAAAAGGAAGAAAAATAAGGCAATGATTTTAAAAAATAAAAAAAGAGGATGAGGGAAAATATGAGGCAACTAGTCCTCCTAGATTATTAAAACACATCATAAATCTATGACATTTTAAAACATGTTGGTGCTAGCCTAAGATTGATGGTACAGAATACATAACTCATAAATAGCTTGTATAGCTTAAAGGTCCCAAATTTCATCAGTCTATGAAGTCATGCTTTCCTTTAGTACCCAAGTCATTTATCTTTAGGAAGGAGAGTCTTTAATCAAACTCTCCTCCCTACATACTTCTGGGAATTATCTAGGGAATGTTTGCATGTTCCATAAATGGTTCCTTGGCTTCTGACACCTTACCAACAATGTATTCTTGTACCTATCATTTCCTGTCATTCAGAGACCACCTCATCAGCCCACTGCTTGCCTCTGATGAATTTCTTCTGAATCATGGGCCCTGGTTCTCCAGCTCCTCACTGTGATAACTGAATCCAATCTGCTATGTTTGAAGACTATCCTGAAGCTTAGAGATAAGAAAGGGACTGCAACTTACATAACTTGAAATTGGATACTACACATTGCCTGCCAAGGCTTTATGTGTATTAGTTAGAAGTTATCTATGCTTCTCTTGTTTATGCAAAATAATTTTTGCCCTGTGTCCTTCTGGACCGCTTCTTCCATGCTGATGTTCAGAATGATCTCAGGTTGCCTCAGCCTGCCTCGTTTGAAGCAGGGCTTCAGTTCCTGGCTAGAGATTGAGGTCGGGTCGCAACAGTGAGAGAGCTGAATCCCAGCCACTAGACCAAAGATCAGGAACAAGGCCCTGGCCCTTCAGCGTGCAGAAAAATAATTCCCACAAAGATTGAAAGTAGTGAAATAGGTAAAGTATTTATTAGGAGGAAAAAGAGTACAGTATATGTGGATAGACACACAGACGGACTCAAAGGAAGAATTGCACCCTCGTGGCAGTTTAAGTTACTTATATGGGGCATTTCTTCCAGGTTTCCTTGGCCAATCGTTTTAATTTGCCTGGTTCAGAGTTCATATCTGTTATACCTCAGGAGCCTCCCATGTGCACACACACATCTCTTAGCCAAGATGAAAGAGGCTTATGGTTGGGTGGCATCAGCATCACTCCCGTTTTGACCTCCAAGAAGCCTTTCTATGCATGTGCAGTTGGGAGGCCTCCTGACTTCAAAAAATGAGAAATATGTGGGCTCTTATCTTCTGTTTGGGCAGGGCCCAGCCTCCTCTCTCAGTTGTCCTGCTATTGATAGTTTGTAGTTTCTGTCCACAAAGAATGAATCTCTAAACTTTACCCTGGGGGCCATCTACCTCCTGACTCAAGAGAAATTAATATAGTCACTCTTCAGTTCAGTTCAGTCACTCAGTCGTGTCCGACTCTTTGCGACCCCATGGACTGCAGCATGCCAGGCTTCCCTGTCCATCACAAACTCCCAGAGCTTGCTCAAACTCATGTCCATAGACTCAGTGATGCCATCCAACCATCTCATCCTCTGTCACCCCCTTCTCCTCCTGCCTTCAATCTTTCCCAGCAACAGGATCTTTTCCAGTGAATCAGTTCTTCGCATCAAGTAGCCTAAGTATTGGAGTTTCAACTTCAGCATCAGTCCTTCCAATGAATATCCAGGGTTGATTTCCTTTAGGATGGACTGGTTGGATCTCCTTGCAGTCCAAGGGACTCTCAAGAGTCTTCTCCAACACCACAGTTCAAAAGCATCAATTCTTCTGTGCTCAGCTTTCTTCATAGTTCAGCTCTCACATCCATACATGACTACTGGAAAAACCATAACTTTGAATAGACGGACCTTTGTTGGCAAAGTAATGTCTCTGCTTTTTAATATGCTGTCTAGGTTGGTCATAACTTTCCTTCCAAAGAGCAAGCATCTTTTAATTTCATGGCTGCAGTCACCATCTGCAGTGATTTTGGAGCCCCTCAAAGTAGAGTCTTTCACTGTTTATATTGTTTCCCCATCTATTTGCCATGAAGTGATGGGACCATTAGTACAGTCACTCAGCGATTGTCATAAAGGAGTATTTCACAATATCCCAGAGAGAACTGTCATGTGTTGATAAACCTGACTGATGATAAACCTGACGTGTTGTCCAACCCTCCATCTACTGAACTTATTGGCAATATATTCTCTAATCAGGAGGGTATAATATGGCTGCTGCTTCATCTTGTTTCATAATAAATATTGTCTGGAGGCCTCTCAAAGAGAATGGAATGAATCAAATTCCATTAAGTGTCCTCAAATTGCTGTCCATATCATAACATGAGTAGGATGCTTGACTGACACAGGACACAGTCTACCCATGGGGACTCTAGTCATCCTGTGGACATGGATACTCTCCCAGTACTAAGTCCTGAGCCCCTTCACAGATGGACCCAACTGAGTCCTTCTCTGTCCGGCCCCCAGACTGCCTCCATGTCTGAGAGACCTCTTGGCTCTCCAGGGGTGGTCATTTGCCAGGTTTCAAGCCCCAGAATGAAGCCAAGGAGAGGCCTTCCATGCCTTCTTTTCCTGCCCCAGGATTGATCCTCTCCCAGAGGGACTGACAGGAAGAATAGCCCTTCTCTTCATGGGAAACCCCATTCACAGGAATATCATCTATCACCATGCCCCTCTTCAGCCCCCCAGAGTCCCACTGTCCAGACACACCACACAGACATCCCCAACCACCTACTTCCCAGCATCTCTGCCAAAGAAGCAAGATTCAGGTCCCCTTTCTTCTTGAGTCCAGTGGTCCTTTATGCTCTTATCACCTTCTTGTCCCATTTGCCTTAATAGTTCTTTCTACAGCTGGGGAACTGTTTTGCTCCACATCTGCTCTCAGTTCTGGGCTTGGTTTTAGGAAACAGGAAGACACTGACTATTTCTCTTATCTACCCTGCTATATCCCTCCCTTGAAGTTGAGCATAAAGTCAACCATATCCTTATATGGAGGAAAGGGGATGGGTAGAGAAGTATGTACACAGTTGAGGATCTTAAAATTTGATCCCACTGCATTAATAAATGGTGTTGAGAAAAGCTGGCTATGTAACTGGAAAAATAGTCAGATTGGCTCCACACCTCACCACATATATCAGAATACACATTCAGATACACGTGCAGTTTTGTTTAAATCCGAAGAAATCTAGAATAAAATATTGGTTTCTGATTTATTTACATTCAGTAAACTTTACTTTTTTTGGATGTATAGTTCTATGAATTTTAACACATAAATAGATTCACACAATCACCACAAGGCAGATCCGAAAAAATGACATCAATTCCAACACCAACTCAGGTTGTCCTTTTATAGTCAAGGCTTCCCCATCTCCAAGCTCTGGCAGTCATGGATTAGATCTCTCTCTTGGGTTTGGCCTTTTCCAGAATGTCATGTAAATGGAAATATACAATATGTAATCTTTTGAGATTGCTTTATTTCACCTGGTAGAATGCACTTCAGATTCATCTATGTTCCATATACCAGTAGGCTGTTCTTTTTACTGCTGAGTAGTATTCCATTTTGTGGATAAATTATAGTTTGTCCATTCACGCATTGAAGAACATTGGGTTTTTTATACTTTTGGACGATTACCAACAGTACAGCTATAAACTGTGTACAAGTTTTTGTGTAAACATAAGTTTGCATTTCTCTAGCTATAGATAATAGACATGAGATTGCATGGCCATATGGTAAGTATGCTTAACTTTAGAAGGAACTGACAAACTATTTTCTGGTGTGGCTACTTCCATTTTGCATTCTCACTAAAAATATATATAAAAGTTCAAGTGGCCCTGAATCTTCATCCGTACATGTATTGCCAGGTTTGTTTGTTTTTTTTAAACTTTTTTTTTCATTGAAGTATAGTTGATTTACAATGTTGTGTAAATCTCTGCTATACAGAAAAGTGACTCAGTTATACACATATATAAATCCTTTTTTAAAAAAAGTTTAGCCATTTAAATAAGCATGTAGTGGTATCCCATGTAGTTTTAATTTGCATTTCTCTGAATGAAAAATGTTACTGAGCATCTTTTCATGTGCTTGTTAACCAATTATACACTTTCTTTGATAAAGTATTCACTCTTTTGCGAGTTTTTTAAATCGATTTGTATATATATTTTTTATTGTTCAGTTTTGAAATACTTTACATGCTATCTTTGTTGGATGTGTAATTTGCAAATATTTCCCCCCCACTCTCTGGGTTTTTTTAAGAAAATTATAGTCTTGCCATTTATCAAAAGTTTAAACACTGGTGAGTATGTATCTACCTTCTGGCTAATGAAGGACTTTCTAAAACATAAAATCATGAAACAAATCAAAAATGAAGAGGTAAATAAATGTGGTTGTTTCTTAAAATGTTTATGGAAAACCACTAAAAGAATTAAAAGCTAAGTAACAAATTAGAGGAAATGTTTTCATAAACCTAGAAAAAACCCAATACCTTAAATATTTTAAAAGCTTATATGAATTAGTAAGAAAAGCTAACAACCTAATAGAAAAATGGACATAGGGCATTAAGGGTCATTTCAATGAAGAAACTAAAATGTCAGATAAACATGTATTTCAAAGGTTCTTCCTCATGTTATTTAAAGAAACGCAAATTAAAGCAACACTGAAGTACTAATTTTGCCTACCAAGTTGGCACAGATCTTTGAAAGATGTTGATAACACTTCATATTAGGAAGGAGTAGGGACACAGCTGGTAGGAGGAAAAATTGAGTCAGTTTTCTTGGAAGGCAATCTGGCTCTGTGTATAAAGAGCCTTCAAATTGTTCCTCCCCTTTGACCCACTACTTCCTTTTTGAGGAAATTCGCAGAAAGACCAAAGAAGGGGAAAGGCCACAGAGTATCAGAATTAGAGAGGCCTCTATACACATACACCATCACCCTGAAGCCCCATGCAGTGCATCCCATTTCCACACTGTTAAGTAGCAGCAAGTCTGTCCTGCCAGGACCCAACTTTGAGCAGGAGCTGTTGTCAGCTAGGTAACCTGTGTCATTCATGTACTCAGACACTGTGCTATCCCCCCGTGGCCCCCCAGGACGCCTCTGCACTGGGCTGCAGCTGCAGGGAAAGCAGACTGTGTGCAGTCACTGCTGGAGCTGGGCATGGACGGCAACCTGCGCGACATCAATGAGAGCACGCCCCTGGCCTACGCCCTGTACTGCGGCCACACGGACTGTGTCAAGCTCCTCTCCCAAGAGGGCAGGTGAGCACACTGCGAGGCACTCATTTTTTATTTCGTCTCAAAGATTTATAAAATTGGATGCAATTGTCTAAACTGCCAAGACCAGCACAAAACGATCTATAACTTAATAATTGTGTTTGACATTGCCAACTACGAATTGGCACTTGCCATCTACCTCTACAAGGATTAAACCATGTGCTGCTGCAGCTGCTGACTTTCAACAGCCCCACCACGGAAAGGAGCTCAAGGTGGAGAGCAGAAATGAAGCTCTCTGTGCCCTGGAATCACTGACAGAACAGGCCTCTAGATAGTTAGATGTTTTCAGGAACCAATTTTATGAGCCCTGTTCCTGCATCTCCTCATATTGAGAAAAGCACAAAAATCTTTCACGGTGACAACTGTTCCTTATGAGTAGCAGCAGGCTCCTGCAAAAAGTATGTGCTCGATTGCATGTACTTCCCCTTCACCAAAACCTTCCCAGCCACCTCTGCTCACCACTCTTGAGCAGTTTCTCAGAGTGATCAGAAATGCTGTCTCTTGGGCTGTAGTCCTCATTTTCCCCCAAATAAATAGTGACTCACAGCTCTCATGTTGTGCATTTTTTTCTATCGACACCATTATCTAACAATGATATGTCCTTGAATCTGTGGAGCAAAATGGTAGTAGTAAGCCTGAGTGTATCAGCCTAACATTTACTGAACTCTAATCTCTTCTTTCCTTTTTCTCCCTTTCCACATCCATTTAGGCAATACACTAATTGCTCTTTTGCCTAAATCAGCATTTCTCCAACTCTTTGTTCTCAGGATCCTTTTATACTCAAAAATTATGGAGGACCCAAAAGAGCTTTTGTTGATGTGAGTTACACCTATCAATATTTATGGCATGAAAAGTGTCTAAAACTGAGACACTTTTGATAAAACATTTAGTTAGTAACTTAAAGTGATAATAACCCATTACAAGTTAAGATTAATACCATATTTTTAGTTAAAAATAAATTATTCTTCAAAACCATCCAGAAAAAGTATGATGAAAAGAGCAGCTTTATTCTACTTTGCTCTTCAAGTCTCCTTGATAGCTTTATAGAAGCTTAATAGAATACAGCAGGATTCCCACATCTGCTTCTGCATTCAACCCACTGCAATGTGACTGTTTTGACTGAAGTGTATGAAAATAATCTGGCCTCACATAAACACATATGTAAAAAAGGGAGGAGTATTTCAGTAGACTTTTGAGATAACTATGGATACTTTTCCTCTGATACTACACCAAAACTTAACAAGTAGTATTAGGTTGGTACAAAAGTAATTGCAGTTTTACACTGTTGAACTTTGCCATTGATATTGGTGTACATTCTTAAATAAATGTGGTTATGTTATACAACTTTCTAATGTGCATTTCTCACTTTATATCTTTTTCCTAATGACTTATTGCTTGCTGTTTCTTTTATATTTATTTTGACTATAGAAATGTTGTTAGACAAAAAGCAAATTTGAATGATTTTTTTATTTGAGTTAAAAATGGTCTGCAAAGAAACAGAAACAACTTGCAACATCAACAACCCATTTGGGCCAGGAACAGCTAATGAACGTACAGTGCAGTGGTGGTTCAAGAAGTTTTGCAAAGGACGTGAGAGCCATGAAGATAAGGAACGCAGTGGCCGACCATCAGAAGTTGACAATGAACAACGGAGAGCCATCATCAAAACTGATCCTCTTAGAGCTACACGAGAAGTTTCCAAAGAATTCAGTATTGACCATTCTATGGCTATTTGGCATTTGAAGCAAATTGGAAAGGTGGAAAAGCTCAATAAGTGGATGCCACATGAGCTGACCAGAAATTAAAAAAAAAAAAATTGTCATCTTGAAGTGTCATCTTCTCTTATTCAATGCAACAACAAGAAACCATTTCTTGATCAGATTATGACATGCAAAAAAAAGTGAAATTTAGACGACAGCTAGTGATGACCAGCTCAGTGGTTGGACCAAGAAGCTCCAAAGCACTTCCCAAAGCCAAACATGCACTAAAAAAAGGTCGTGGTCACTGTTTGGTGGTCTGCCGCTCTAGTGATCCACAGCAGCTTTCTGGATCCCAATGAACCCATTGCATCTGAGAAGTATGCTCAGGAAATCAATGAAATTCACTGAAAACTGCCATGCCTGCAGCCAACACTGATCAACAGAAAGAGCCCAATTTTTCTCTATGACAATGCCCGACCACATGTCACACAACCACCACTTCAAAAGTTGAACGAATTGGGCTACAAAGTTTAGCCTCATCTGCCGTATTCACCTGACCTCTTGCCAACCCACTATCACTTCAAGCATCTCGACAACTTTTTATAGCGGAAATGCTTCCACAGTCAGCAGGAGGCAGAAGATGCTTTCCAATGGTTCATCGAATCCTGAAGCATGGATTTTTACACTACAGGAATAAACAAACTTATTTCTCATTGGCAAAAATGTGTTGATTGTAATAGTTCTTATTTTGATTAATAAAGATCGGTTTGAGCCTAGTTATAATGACTTAAAATTTATGGTCCGAAACCACAATTATTTTTGTACCAATCTAATAGTTTCCCAAAGATTAGCTGCAGTGTGGACTTTGTCACCTTATCAGTGAACTTTTTGAATTCTGTTACATTAAAATCCATTCATCTCTCTAGCACCTTAAATGTGTCTTATACCTATGCATGATTTTATATCTTGCATTGGTCATTTGAAGAACATTGGTTTGCTTAGTTATGAAGATCTTCCATTAAATAATACATTTCATTTTACAACATTAGAAAAAAAAAATCATATTTATTAATGTCACTACTCATCTCATCAGAACAGGTTTTATGTATCAGGAAGCTATCAAGCTCAAAGTATGCATACAAATTTTCCAAAATTTCTAATTTTTGCATGAAAGTTAGATTTTTGTCATTGGCGACAATTACTGTCAATTGTTTACCTTGAAATGACAGACTCACTCTGTTCATTTTTGAAAAATTAAATGCCCAACTCCAAATAACCATAACTTGCCTAGAAGCCATTGAAATGATGTTTCATGGGGGAAAAAAGTATCTAGTTCCACTCAAACAATTCCACAAATGTTTTACCTTAAAACATCCATCATATATTAGTGTAGGGTTGTTGTTCTTTAGTCACTCGGTCATGTCCAACTCTTTGTGAACCCATGGACTGCAGCACTCCAGGCTCCCCTGTAGTCCACCATCTCCCAGAGTTTGCTCAGACTTATGTCCATTGAGTTGGTGATACCAGTATATAACAGAATTGCTTATGAGTACTTTCTATTTTGTCCAAAAAAAAAAATGCATCTCAAGGATCAATATTTAGTAAAATGAATAACTTTTACTGGGCATTATTAAATTAAATGGCAATTTTGTTTTAATGAAAGTCTATTGTTACTACTACCTTGATTTGTGCCAAAGAGCCCATTGTTTTACCCATTTTTCTCTCTTGCATGCTTGGTGTAAAAAGCAGTCCAGTGAAAAAGACAACATCTTGATATTATTATGATGTAGTTTTAACTTCATTAAGCCTGTCAGAGACCTCACCTCCAGGGTTCAATGAACCACACTTTGAGACCCACTGGCCAAAATCACAACCTTAATAGGAAGAGGAGGTTGATTGCAGAAGATGCTGAAGTAGCATTAGCATTTAGTTAATTTAGTTAGCACAGGGACATAATTCTATATGGGAAAACTTGCAGGAATGTTAGAGATCTCCTGGGGTTCTCTCTCTGGTAGTGTCAGGAGTGCAGAATCTGTGTTTCATATTTCCCAAAGTCTTTTGGAAGGTGAAAGGAGGAAGATAAAAATTCGTCACAGGAATAAAGATTCAATTATACACTGCGTGACCTACAGGAAAAAGAAAAAATTTCATCAGATGTGGCCAAAATGAGGAGTGATACTTTTCAAACCACAGGTTACAATATCTCACTGCAAAAAGTAATGTTGCAATATTGCTTTTAGGGCATGCACACAGGTCCGGTTTCATCATTAACCCATACCGCAGAAAGCACTAAATCAATTGTGGCCTCAAAAGAGAATAACACAGAAATTTCCAAGCAACAAAAACAGCATAGTGCCTCAGGGAAACTCCACACAAGAAGAGCCAGCCAGCCAACTGCAGATCTTTTTCCCTGCAGAATTTGCCTGCCTATTGGACACTGCTCACTTTTCTTCTGCTGCCACGCCCAAATTCTGGCATGCACACTTCCTGTTCCGCAGCCCAAGCCCAGACAAAAGCTTCTCTCCTTGGCTTTCTTTAGTATGCTTTATTTTAAGTGTTTTTCAATGGGAAATTTAGTAAAAACTCAACAGGAAATAAATAACACACAAACAGCGTAAAATGGGCAGGCTTCCTGCGGTGGATAATGTCAGAGCTCTGCCCTTATCTCCGGGGAGCCTTTTCAGAGAACGCCTGAAAAAAATCAGACTCCCCTCCCCCAGCTCTGCATCCTCCACCCAGCTGCTAGCTAAAGCCTGAACACAACATTTGGCCTTTATTTCTTTGACTTAAAGCTGGCACTCCTACTGACTGGCCTTAAGAAGTAAGAACAGTAACCCCTGAAGGTATTTGGTATTTTCCGCTTACTTGATCCCCTGGCAAAAACAAAATTTGAAAGGATAGTTCCTGAGGGAACAAGCAAAATCTAACCAAGAAATATTCTAATTCTGGGCAGTGGACTGACCATGGCAGGGAAGGTGGTGGCAAAGGGTGCTGTGAGTAGCTCTCGCACATCACCTTTAACTTGAGAGGGCGCTGAATGGCTTTGAATGATCTCCTTCTGGAGGTGGAAGAGAGGGAGGTATTTTTTGTTTGATGACTGCTGTTGCGCCACTTCCTGTTCTCACAGAGCATCCTTGTTTTATATTCCTGTAGAACAGAGCCTCCTAGACCCCTTCCTGCCCAGAACAGTAGACCCCAGAAGAAGGAGGGACGGTTCAGCATGCTCAATCAAATCTTCTGCAAGAACAAAAAGGAAGAGCAGAGGGCCTATCAGAAGGACCCCAGCAGGGACTGGCACAGAGGGGAGCACACCTCGGAAGTCGATGACATCATCACCACCTTCGACAGCAACGTGGATACCAACTGCCAAGAGCAGCCTGGTGAGCAGGTGGCTATGGTTGACTTTAAGAAGAGGACCTCAGAAAACTCAAAATATCACTTGCCAGAAAAGAAGCCTCTGGCCCGTAAAGGGCTTCCACCAATCAGAACACAGAGCCTCCCACCCATCACCCTGGGCCATAACTTCCTGACAGCCTCCCAGGGGGCCACTTCCCATGCTGGCCTGAGCTCTGGTACTCATCATGCGGCCCAGCGATCTCAGAAAAGCCGAAGTGAGCAAGATTTGTTGAATAACAGAACTGGCTGCCAGGCATTGCTAGATAACCCTTGGAAAGGTGATTCTCACCCGGTGTTCTATAAAGCCTGGACTAGGTCTTCATCTGACAAGCTGCTAGACAGGTTGCTCACCAGCAGATCTGGCCACCAGGAAGTATCAGGGCCCCCACATCTTCCTCATCTACATAATCCTTCATCAGGTAATGTCCTTCCTCATTCCTGACAGATTCTGTACAAGAAACATGTCATCCCATCCTGAGTGAGGAGGGAGAGTAGGTAGCCTGGAGGACTTCCCTTTAGTCCACTGGATTCAGGATGTCCAGGCTAGGCAAACAGTCTGCTTTTCCAACCTGAAGACAACCATCAGGTAGAAGCATGTGCCTTCTCATCTTATCCCATCCCACCAAATATGTGTGGTGACTGGCAGATTGGAGCAGGAATTTTATTATTTCCACCAGCAAGGATTCTTAAGCAGGGATACTTGCCAATATCACCTACAAGGGGTTGATTTGTTTGTGTGACTGTTTGCTTTTAAATCAGGTGTTCAATGCCCACTCTGGGCCCACTGAACCAAAATTTTGGTGAGGCAGAAGGGAAAAGAGTAATGCCTTCCACGTGTATGTGTAGAAAGGGAACACATCACACACTTATGGTTCAAGACTCCAAACATGTCAAAGGACTAACCTGGCAGCTCTCCCTCCTGTGTCTGCCCGCAGCTATGCAGTGCCCCTCATCCGAAGCAAACTATGTTATTAATTTTTTGCTTATCCTTCCAGAAGTATTTTATATGTATTTAAGTATTTGTATATATACATATATATACATTTTAAATAAGCACATCACACTAAAGAATCTATATTTTTGTACACATACAAGCAATATATATGTGTCTACTTTTCACCCATTTCTAAACAAACATATCACACTAAAACTTTTATTTATATATTTTTAAATCACCCACAGGTGATTCTAAGGTACAGTGGAGACTAAGATCTATTGTTCTAAAGCATAAGCTTCAGGACAGCTTCCAAAATCAGGTCATTACTATAATATCTTATTTTGTCATCAAGTGAATTAATTACTAACATTTAAAAATCATGAAATTTTCACATAAAAATTTAAATTTCTAGGTTCGCCAGAGAAATTGAAAAATCTAGCAACACTAAACACAAATTCCATTTGGCAATAATTGGCTAGATCTGAGTAACCAGTATCCCTATGGACACCACTTGGACATCACTGTCCCCAGTTCAGCCCAGTCCACACCGCTCTCTAGTCTCTTTCCATGGAGTGTCTGTTGTTCTTTATCAATAAGTTTCTGTTGTTTTTCTTATAGTGGGGTTAAGAGGGAAAATGATATGTTTCTTGAATCCATGCTTCTTTCAAAAGTAGAAAAGTGAAAGACCAAGAGGGTTTATGTATGTTTTAAGAAGTAGATGAGATCAATATATCTTTGGAGGTAAGAACTATTCCTTCCCATTTAATATGCAGTATGGGTCTGGCTCTCCTCACTCATTTACACGTGCCTGGTGTCTGAAACCTGTGAGGCAGCATACGACTTCTCTCATACATATTTATTTGTATTCAAACATATTTACTTGAATAAATACGTGACAGCTATTTCCTGAGAAGAACTTCCCTCAAGGTCTTACTTCCTCCTCAGAGCACTGGAGTGTGGGTAGTTTTCCTTGTGTTCTGTGGAGGGGTAAGGAAGCAAAGATATTGGTTTCCTGTCTTTTAACACTTTGATGGCCTCCAGGGCCTTGGCTCAGCCTGCCTTCTGGAGTTAGTCCTGTCCTGGCTAATACCTTCTTTTTAGGAAAAAAAAAAAAAATTTTTTTAGATTTTTGAAAGTCTTGTTCTTTTTCTGTTCCCAGGACAGCCTGGGGCTGTTTTTTCTTTATCAGTTAGAATTGGTTCATCTGTTGTAACAGAAACCCAAAATAACTGTGGTTTAAGCAACATAGAAGTTTATTCCTCTCATATGAAAGAAGTTGAACGTTATGGTTCCCAGTGCTTCGTGAACCATGATCACCAGAGACCCATGCTCCTTCCATCTGTATTCTCTACAACTTAACCTAGGGCTTTCATCCTTTGGAGAAAGAGCAGGAGAAAGGAGAGAGGCAGGGAGAAAGGAAGGGTGGGGGGGGAATGGACGTCCCCAATCTGAATTATCTCCCATTAATAAGTTATCTCCTATTGCTTCTCGGCCTTTTGGCTAAGAGCAAGTGTAATAAGTTATTGCCCATAAGTCCTAGAGTCTACTTCCATCTCATTGGCCAGAACTTTAGTCACATGACTGCCTATCTGCAAGGGAGACTGGGAATTGTTGTCTTTTAGCTGATCACATGACTATACCTCTAAAACTGGATTTTTGTTTCTAAGAGAAAAAAGGGAGTAGGTATTGAATAGAGAATTCATAGATTCTGTTCCATGTGCCATCTAAAACTTTCCATGTTACTTAAAAGAAAATTCAATAAAGTTTATTTGAGGATTGATTTCACTTTTCCAGTGAAGTGACTTGAAAAGTCCCTAGGGGCAGGAAAGCAGAAAAGGACTAGCAGAATTCTCCAAGGGAACATTAAATGATTAGCTGTGCCTGGATCAAAGCTTTTATTTTTTTCAACCAATGTTTTTGAGTGCTGATAATAACTAGGAGCCATTCTAGGTAACTGAGTCATGACAAGATAAATATCCCAAGAATCTTCAGTCTATAAATGAACTTTCAGGAACATGGATTTTCTAAGTTGATTATACAACTCACTTTAAATTGATTTTCTTCTCATGTTTACATATGAAAATCATAAGGGTTTTAAATGGAAAGGACCCTAGTCTTCACTCATTCTTTAAATGATTATTGAGTGTCTATTATTATAATTTGTCAAGAGGCAGCATATCCAGTGGTTAAGAGAAAAATTCTTTTTTTTTCCTCTTTTTTTGGCTACCACATGGCTTATAGGATCTTAGTTCCCCAGATAAGAACTGAACCTGGGTCCACAGCAATCAAAGACCTGAGTCCTAACCACTGGACCTCCAGGGAATTCCCCAAGAGAGGTCTTTTAAAGTCACACTTTTGTTGTTGTTTTGTCCATAAGTCCTGGCTCTCTTTTACTTGCTGTTAATGAATCTCTCTGAACCTTTGTTTCCTCATGTCAAAAATGGGAAGAAATACCCAACTTTTAGGGTTGTGAATTGCTATTAAGGTTAAACAAATTGATACATTTATAATACTTAAAATAGTGACTTGAACATAGTACTATATAAATGCACACAGATTTGTGGATTTTTCTTTAAACTATGTGCCAGACCCTACACTAAGCCCAGTGCCTTAGACAAAAGCTATAGATGATGACATTTAAGCAAATATACTATTCAACTGCCCTTTTGCTCTCAGATCTAGTCTCTTACTTTCAGCTCTAGTCTGTATCTCAGGAAACTACACCTCTCAGGCTCCCTGGAAGCTGCCTCCAGGTACTTTTGGGGAAGTGCCAGGAGGCATTGGCAAGAGTAAGAGCAGGAGAACGCGGAAAACCAGTGTAGTTCTCCTCAATGTCCCTCTGCTTCCTATGAACTCTCCAGTAGGGGTTCTACTCCTCCTACTTCCTCCTCACAGCCCCTCACTTGTGGTTCTGGCTCCCACTAGCTTCTGGGCCTTGGTAGTACCAGCTCTTTCTCTTATACTCCAGAACAGAAGTGGTTGCATCCTCCTTCTGTGGTTAATTTCTGGATGTCCTTTAACCTTGTCATCTGGCTTCTCAGCTTTTCTACCACCAGCATAACAAAATTTCTATATGAAATTGCCTCTCTTTCAGAGGTCTAAAGAGGTCTCCATTTTCCTGAATGAGCCCTGACTGATAAGGCAAGACATGTCATCTCTCTCAGCTACAGTTTTCCTACTCTCTGGATACACAGTCTAGGGCCGTTTTGTTTGATAAAGGACTTTCCAGTTATAATGTACATAGCCTAGAAAAGTTAAAACAACTTGTTCAGTCTTACAACTAATTAGTGACATATTCAGAACTTTAACCCATATCTCCTAAGAAGTTACCACACAGCCTCCTGGTGGCTCAGAGGAAAAGAGTCCACCTGCAATGCAAGTAGATGAGGGTTCAGTCCCTGGCTTGGGAAGATCCCCTGGAGGAGGAAATGGCCATCCACTTCAGTATCCTTGCCAGGGACAATACCATGGACTGGGGAGCCTGGTGGGTTACAGTCCATTGGGTCACAAAGAGTCAGGCTGAGCACATATACAATAGTGGTGGAAGTGGTTCAGTTGCTAAGTCATGTCTGACTCTGCAACCCCATGGACTATAGCCCGCCAGGCTCCTCTGTCCATGGGATTTTCCAAGCAAGAATACTGGAGTGGGTTGCTATTTCCTCCTCCAGGGGATCTTCCCTACCCAGGGATTGAACCCACAAAATAAGGGCTTCCCTTATTTCTGTATTTAAATCTCAAAATCGAGTTGATAGCATGCTTACCAAATTATTTACAATGTGATTTTCTTAGAAACTACACCATCCTCCCCCAAAGAAAAATATTTCTGCCTTATGGATTTTATTTTTGCAAATATTTTTAACCCAATTTGAGATTTTTTTTTTTTTTTAATAACTACTGAAACTTCCAGACTACAGTTGGGAGAGTTCACTTAAGTGGTTTAAATTGTTAGTTTGGGCGGGTTGAAACTCAGCAGATTTCTGCACTGAGCTCCCATACTTGATGTGAAAACCTAATGTGGTAAAGCAATTGGGTACTATAAATCATACCACTGCACCACTGGCGTGAACTTGGATCGTCTCTCCCCTGGATTTTTTCTTTTCCTGCCCCGGGTTTAGTAGAAATAATATGGGCTAGCAGTGATTCCTACCGTTTGAATTCCTGGCAGCTAATATCCTGTGCTGACATCAGCAACTCTGAACATTTAGCTGTAATGATTATTGCTTAACATTTATTGAGACCTGTCAGTGGGCTAGATGGAGAGGATGGGGGATAAGGCACTTAACCTAAATGAGGGAATTTGGAGCACATCAGCTTAATTCATTGCAAGCAGCTTTCAGAGAAAATGGAACAGAGAGTTCTGTGGTGTTTGCTACCAGCCTGGTTATTTACAAGTCATCACAAGGAACCTAAGAAAGTGCTTGCTTCCTTTCTCCCTCAAGAGAGAAATTTCTTCTCCAGAATTTTCTAGACTATCCCAGCAAC